TTTCGAGCGTGTTTCGACACTCTTTCTCTTTATTTCTGTTTTCTCTGTCACTAGCTTTGTTTCACGCGCACGATATTTCCACGGTGTGGAATAAAAAGAATTAAGTAATAATCAGTCAAACCTTAATTCTGCTCTAATTTGCCCCTCGATGTTTTGAAACTCGGACGATCTTTAAACCGAAATCCGATGTGGTGACGTGACTGGGTTTTCATTCTCAAATTGCGAAGCTACGCGCAATATTTCAAGCTTGGTGCTTGGCCTTCAACTTTGGCTTTGCCCCTCGATGCTGTTTACGAAGTTGGCTCGTTGAACGCAGAATAATAAGGAAAAAAATCTTTACTTTATTAGAACTCCGTCACGCCGCAAAAAACCGGTCGGCACGCGGTTTCTAATTTAAAAGATTGTCCGGTAGTATCCAAACGTTACTAGGTTTTTGCCCTGGTGCAATTTTTATGTTATTAAAAAAATAACAAAAATTGTGAAATCAGTTATGGTCATTAACACGAAACTGCGCGCCAGATAGTACAAGTATGAATGGCTTGTCGTTGCGTGACGTCAGATCAGGCATTGTATCGTCCAACGTTACTAGATTACCTCAGTTGTGGAACTCCCAGGGAAGGGGGTACCCCCCTCACTCACTTCAGTCCGTCTCCCGTCGTTCGAAGCGCCATCTAGATTTTCGTTTACGAACTGTGTATTCCATAGTGTACGGTGGAGCGCCATCTAGACGCTGCGCTTCGAAACGTATGTATCCCATAAAACACTCGTCAAACGACGGGAGGCGAGTGGTGGTGAGTGTGGGGAAAGGGGGGGGGGGGGGGTACTGCTCGTGCATGCCGCGTCTATGAGCAGTTCCGTAACTGAGCGAATCTAACAACATTGGTATCGTCTGAGTGGCGGGCGTTGACTTATTCCCGGTTGTGATCAACATGTTTGATGGTGCGTGCAAGGAACATCGTCGAGAAAGAGAGCTTCCTTCAATGCCTTAAATCTTGTTCTTCTGAAAGGAAAGTTGTGTCACTGAGAAATAAGTGAGAGCAGTGGAACGCTGATACAGCTCAGATATATATAAAAAAAAGTCAGCGTGGTGTCGATAGCGCCGCCTTAGCGCTGCGCCGTGTTCGTGAACAGGCTTTAAGGGGACACCAAACTCTCCCGAAAAAAATAGTTTTGAAATGTCTGGATTGCAGACGCACGTCGGAAACTAAACTTTCACGGAAAACAAATGGCGCAACATTTACGCCGTGAAAACCTTTTTAAGTGAGGAGCGATTCGGAAACGTGCCTCTATTTTGGCACGTAGTTCTTAAATTGAAGCAGCAAATAGATGCAAGACGCGATATTTAAAATGAGTCTCTCGACCCTAATATTGCTCTCAAGTCTAAACAATTGGTTTTACTGGAAAAGTTTTTTTTTGACATATGAGTGTACCATCTGGGAATTTCAAATAATAATACTAATATTTTTGTTAGTTTAGTGTTTCTTTAAGTGCGAGTGCAATCGCAGCTGACAGCGCGAGCACGTTGCTTCTAAACATCGCTTTCACTAAATGAAGTACACGACAGAAACACTGAGAGCACTAAAAACCTAACAACACTTAAAAAATACATAAATTTTCACTTTTTTCTTATTAAAATTTCGCGTTGCTGTACCGTCCTGCCCCCCAGCCGTCTTGGTTAAGCAGGCAGTCCGAGGGCGACTTCGAACAAGTCCCCCCCCCCCCCCCCCCCCCCCCCCCCTCATTAGATGGCAAATGTCATTTGATGTTATCTAACGACTTTCGGTGAAATTCATTAAATGTTTTTGCGTGGCTGCCGTAAACGACATCATGTGCAAATCGCAGTCACTTCAATAGACACTACTCTTGCCTTGTGATACGAGTCAGACAGTGTTCGGGGCACACCAGGAGCTCTCTGGATCGACTGACGAATCCGGCACGTGGCTACGCCCTTGCAGGCATAGTCATACAAACGGCAGAAAATCACGTAATAAGTAGTTGCGACCGCCGGTAGAGAAGCTGAATGCTTTCCCCTATTCTTAATTTTTTTTCCAGTGTCATTTAGTGCGCGGAAAAAACAAACAAACACATTCAATGAAGCACTTGACGGGTGTTCGAACGATCAGCACTGGCAATCGGAATTATATGCAGTGCAAGACGCGGAGAAAAATTGAGATTATATAAAATAATAATTTTTTTATTTGTTGAAGCACCTCTTTTTTTTTGGGGGTCATTGCATCGTTTTATATAAAATGGCGCCGTGTATACAATCTGACTGCGAAGTGCCTCCGTGCCTTATAGCTTATTCTACTAATGCGCAGTTAAAAGGCTTTCAGAACTAGCTCCTTTCGCAGTAACCAAAACAGTTCGCAATCTCGACGAAGTGCGTGCCGATTTCCCTGGGCCAGTTCACCGATGCTCCAAAGGACTTTGTTTCGAAGACATTTTTGATCACCCAAGTTGGGTGGCACAACTGTTCTTCGAATTCGACGTCCGACCGTTCTTCTAATTCGAATGTTATATTATTACCAACAAACCGTAGTTCTTCTGTCTCCTTAACAACGCTGATCGATGTGTTGGCCTGCATGATCACCGCCTTCAGCCTTGAATACGTCATGCTTTAATATCAAGATCTGATTTGCAGCTGAACTCGCCCTTACAAACTCGCAAATCCCTGCCTTTTATATTCTTCTCCAGACCTAGTTTACTCTCAGTTCTAGGTCTAATCCGGTTCTAAAGTTCACTATTTCCTAAATCCCTCTCGCTTCTTTTTCAACTTCAGTCGAAACGCGCTACGAAACTGGCAGACACGTATTCCGGGTTTTCGGGGCTAATCTTCCAGTCTGAACGACATTAACTTATTCTCGCACCTGTCTTTCGTTGAGGGCATTCGTACGATTAAAAACATTTTATTTTGTTTTCTGAGTCAACTCAAAGCTGAGAAACGGCTATTTCAATAAATCTCAAATTTAAATAGTATACCGCTTAAATTTCCGACTTACTGAAATGTTTTTTTTTTTTTTTTTTATATAAGATTCCGAAATGGTTTCAAGCACAAAACCAGCAAAAGCGTATTTTTTTTAAAACTTAGAGTCTTCTCCCAAGATAGGTCGTTTTTTTAGGCTACAATAGTTTTAAAAATCATGAGGGTAGTAACCAGGGAACTTCCTGCATTCTGGTCTACGCGAACTGCAAGTTCGTCTGCTTCTTGCGGAGGAGTTCCGGTGACGTCAGAACGACGCCGAGCTCTTGTTGGATGATGGAGCATGATAGTGGGTAGACCTCAATGCTGGATGCTTTAAGGTCTACCCAATATTTTGTTTTCAATCAGCCAATAAGAGCTCGGCGTTCTAACATCATTGCAACCTCTGTGCAACAAGCAGACCAACTTGCGCACCGCATTGATGCGCAGTAACGAGCTGCAAAAATGTATAAACTGCCGCCAGTTGAAAGGCGTTGCACCAGAGTGATTTACTGCGCTGCCTGGAACGCGCTTTCGACTGGTGTGAATAGCGTTCTATTGCGCTCACATATCGGAAGTGGTCCCCAATTAGCAACAAATGACGTCACAATTGCCGGGGTGTCATGCTGTCGGACGTCACGATTGTGGCGGCGAAATGTAAAAGTTCTGAAAACAAAAAATACACTCAAAAGAATGCGAGTGTCGCTGTCGTCACGGCGTCGCGACTACTCGTGGCCAAAGCTTCCGTGGACTGTGGGCTGGAGAGCGAACTGAAGCAAAACAGGCGTCAGCCATGTCCACCACGGCTACTGTCACGCCGCCAGGATCGCGGCCGTCGACAGCACCACTAAAAATTAAGACAAAACTTACAAGCGCCTAGTTCTGTTTGTTATAGTTCACTTTAACAACCCACATGCAAAACTAAGTTGTAGTACGGGTTCTTTCGTTGCTCGGTCACCTTGCGCCGTCCGGACTGCCAGGTCCGGATGGGGTGACGGGCTTCGTTGTAGGAAGCTGGGCGGGTCTTGCCGGAGACGAAGTTGCTTCCCTTGGCCGTCGACGACTAATTCAGTTGAATTTGGGGATTACTTTTCAATAAACAATTTAATACTTTGGTAGGAAACGAAAATAAAAAAAAAGATAAACAATACTGCGAAATGATAACTTCCCCTGTACGGGGTTGGGAAGGAGGTGGTCGGACGTTAGCTTATCCAAGCTCGGGAGTTGGCTGGCTCGTGGTATTACGTCCCGATTACGGGGACAGAAGTCCCTCGAAATCCCACGACCTGACTCGATTACGGAGCGACAGCTTTCGAGCCCCAGCACGAACTAAACTCACTTGCTGAGTTTCCCATCAAAGTCACTCGTTGGTCCGTTCCCTTTTAGTAAGCCGGCGAATCCTCGACGCGTCGTGAGACAGGCGTTTCCCACCGCCAACCAATCAGCTCACTTTCTCGCCACGTGGGAATTGCCTATATTCCTGGGTGGGAACCCGCGGTCTGCGTACATCTCACGGTCAAAGGTCGGGCTAGTTCGGATGCAAGCAAAACCATTTCTCGCATGGCGAAGCGGACAACCGACCCCAGTGTGGATAGCGCCGACTAAGTGAGCCATCCCGCAATTCATTCTGCCAGTGGCGGTCTGACGTTGCCGTTCTGCCGCGACCCCCCACACTCAGGCGAGAAAGACTAAACCGATGTAAACGCGCCGTGTAAACAGCGCCGGCCAGAGCCACTGCGTTCTGGTGGTGGTGGTGGTGTAACTTCATTTTCCCGGCCCGGAACGCACGCTCCGATTCCCTCGGCAGAAAACGCGCGTTCCGAACCTCGCGTCGTAAAGTACGCCTGTCTCTCGAGGTCGCCCGCCAAGGGAAGTGTTTACAACAGCGCTTTCCCCCCAGCCAAATCTCCCTGGTGCTAACGACAAGCTCTGGCATTAAGACCATATAAAGATTGCATGTCTCGCACTGCTATCATCCGTGAAGTTTGAGTTCTGGAAAAGCGAAAGATGATCACCCTGTTACCTTATTGATTTTCTTCAGATGAGGGAACAACACTGGACGCAAGCGAAACCTTGGACAATGAACAGCATCCGGCTCGCTATCTTCTGGGGAACTCTTGCGTGGGCAGAGGCAGGAGACGTGGACAAGTCCTCTTGCAACATATCTCTACCCTGGTCAGTTTCGAAGACAGACTACACCGACGTCTCGGACACTGTGTTTGAGTCCTTGTTTCAGTGCCCCGGTGACTTAAACGGATGCGGGGACAGGACATTACTTACGTGCCAGCAGGCCACCTATGTGAGGACGTGCTCCTGCGCGTCCAACTGCAGAGTTTACCGTGACTGTTGTTGGGAGACGGGCATCGACAAGGCGGAGGCCGACTTCCCGGAATCTTGCTGCGTTGTCGTCGACCTTTATGAGTCTGTCCGCAAGTTTCTCTACATGGTCACTGGATGTCTGCCGAGCTGGCCAAACGATGATGTGAGGGAAGCGTGCGAAAAGCCAGGACACTTCAACGAGACCTTCTACCAGATTCCTGTCACAAGTTCCAGTGACATTACTTACAAGTAAGTTTTAAGGTTTTGTAAACCGATGGAAGGGCGAAATTGGTTCTGGAGGCACACGATGCAAAGCGCTAAGATTAAGGGGACTGTGTGGCATATTTTGTGCGTTTTCCTTTAGTGTTGTAAATTTTAAATATGGCTGATATTCCTGGCTTCGGCTTCGTTCAATGCATCTACAGGGTGGTTTCCGACACATCTCGAAGAGGAAGAATTGCAAGTGCATGTTTTATTGAAAGTTAGGGTATAATAAAATTGGCAACGACATTTAACTTCAAAGTACCGTAATGCTTGAAATGCAATATTTAGAAGTAATTTCTTTAATTGCTTGGAAATATTTATACTGTCGTTTCAGGAGTGAAGAACCTATATTTGTTTTATCAATTTTGAGGAATTGGAACTGTTGTGTCTTGTGACCAGGAAGGGGAGGAGGAAGGTTGACCAATAGAGCAGGGGAGAGGGCACTTAATGAGTTTAGAGGAATTGGGAGAGGAAAGGGAGGAGAGAGTACAGGGGAAACTGAATTTGTTTCGCATGATCAAGGAAGGGGAGGGAGGGCACCGTAGAAGCATGCGGGAGAGGAAGGAGAGGTAGGGAACTTAAGATAGGTGTGGAGGGAGTGGAGATGGAGGAGTGAGGGGAAGGGAGGGATCTGAAGGACACCCTAGGAGAGAGAGGGGTGAAAGCAAATAAAAAGGGAGGAGGGATGGAAACGAAACATTTGAGTAGGTCACATGATATTAGGTAACATAACGTCAATTTCCCTGCTAAATATAGCCGGGAAATTGAATTGGTGTTGAACTCACAAGACGTGAACTTTTACGCTAAATGTAGAGGGGAAACTGAATGGACATATAGGTCACGTGACGTAATTTCTCCACTTCGTGCTTAGGTCCCGTGACGTCATGCCACGTGAAATTATTTTTTTTTTCTGCGAAATTTAGCACAAAATGCACGGGCGAACGGACGGACGTACAAAATTATGGAATTGGGGGCTACTTTAAAAAAGAATTTCATGCTTGAAAACTATGTAAATTTCTTTTTGAGAAAATGAGAAGCTTGCTTATGGGAACCAGCAGCTGAATTTTCCTCGTCAAGGTAAACAAAAAGATTATGCTGTTTTCCTCTCTTTTCAAACTATGAACTGTAGATTACAGTGATCATGAGTAGTACAGTTGCACGTGAAAGTAGCCTTGACTCTCAGTGTATGAGAGTTGGACAAGCGTGTTGACGTAAATACCAATATAATGAAAGCTAAACAAAAGGGAGGGACGAGGAAAGACATGTCTGTTCTCGTCCCTCCCTTTTGTTTAGCTATCATTAGGCTGTGTTAAAGTCTATTTTTAACGTTTTTTTTTACGATGTGTTCTCACAATTTATAACGAGTTTAGGCACTGTTGTGTGAACTCTTGTTTTTTTAGTTCAGTTAGATAAGAAATAAATCGTGTTGGCTTTCTTTAAAATGCAATTAAGCCTTCACTGTTTTGCTTTCAGAAACGGATACTGCGCCCTTTGCAACTACGACCTGGTGAACGCAACCTTCTGGAATGCCACTGTAAAGCCTCCCTCAACCAAGGCATATCTCCAGCTCCCTGACATAATAACCAACCAACCTTATCTGCACCTAAGGCCATGCGGCGACTCTCCAAACGACACCTGTCCCGATGGCACCCCTGAAAGCATCGTTAGAAAATGCAAAACTTTTTATGCTCCGGTCATCGTCTCCCAAGACCCAGAGAGTTCAGTGTATCGAAATGTGTACTGTGCCATGTGCAACGGCGTCGACCTTTCCACTTTGTCGTGTAAAACAGCGGAGCAGCTAAGCAATTTCTCTATTAACTCCCGGCACCGGGGTCATCACCGGCGACCCGGCCCAAATTTAGTTTCTATATTTCACCCTGTGTTGAGAACTCAAAATTGTTATGTTCAGCATGGACGCCGCTGTTTTATCAAGACGCGTCCTAAACTGTTCCGGCGGCGGCATGATGCAAACAGCACCAACCAAACGACACGGAGGCACCAGCGCAGGCGTTTCTACACCGTCCAAAATTATCTCACGATCGTTTGTGTCAGCTTGTCCATCTGCTGCCTTTTCTTGAAGGTCGTTGTGTTCAGCATCTACAAAGACGCCAGGAGTTTTTCGTCCAAGTGTACCTTATGCCTTTCCATCACCCTGCTCATGACTCAGCTTGTCTTTCTACTTGTGAACAGCTTCAAGGTCTCACGCGCCGTGTGCACGGCGTCCGCCATGTTGGTACACTACGGCTTCTTGTCAACGTTCTTCTGGACCAGTGTGCTCTCGTTCGACATCTGGAGGGGCATCACGGCCGTCAACCTGTCCTCTACGCGCAAGAGGACCTTGGCGTTGTACTGTGTGGTCGCGTGGGGTGCACCGATGATCATCGTTACCGTTGCAGCCATGGTCAACTGGTTGGCTCCAACATCTCTGGTTTCACCACTGTACGGTGTCTCGAGCTGCTGGATCGGAAGCATCTGGGCCCAGATAACCTACTTCTTAGCGCCAATGGCTGTACTGCTGGTAATAGGAATAGTCCTCTACCTGAACACTGTTTTCTACATCCGCAAGACTACAGGTCATGCTCGAGACTTCGAGTTCAAAGATGGAGTTCAGCAGAACCAACATTCCCACATGGCATTGTATGTACGATTGGCTCTCATCATGGGAGCAACATGGGGCGTGGGATTCTTAGGTGTCTTTGTAGATTCTACCGTGACAGATATTCTGGTCATTGTGCTTGTAGGGCTTCAGGGTGTATACCTTTTCTTCGCATTTAAGGATCACAAACACTTCTGTTCCTCTATTTCGAAACGAAAGATCAGTTCCAGCGCTGTGGGACAGTCCAACGGCACGTTCAGTACAGAGGAGCCGCAAAGCAAAAGACTTTCCTTGTAGAGTTGACTGATTGGTCTTGTTGTATACGGTTGCATCTAAAGAACAATTCGGCCTTCGCTGATATGAAGTCAGCGGACGCTGTAAGTACCCAACAGGTAAGGGCGTTTCCCAATGTTTCGGATCTCACCAGTGGCAGCCTAAAGAAATATCAAGGTGCGTTTAACCAGATATATTCCTTCTGTTGGTGAACATCGCCCCCTGCTTAGTATAGGCCTCCAGTATTAACCAGGCTGTGCTACCATTCTTCGCACGCCAACACCATCTTGCGTCGAGATTTTTTTTTTTTCAGGTTAGGGTGGAATAAAAATAACCACCCCATGACATAACCAGTATTATAAATCTTCACTGCTGGAGGTATCAAGGTGTGAAGTCGTTCGTCGTGTGTTAGCGACACCTCTTAAACTTTGTTACGCCGGTTTAGGGTTGTTGCGAAATTGCCTAAACCTTGCGCAACCCAATGTAGGAAACTTTAGTGCTGGAGACCTACTCCCGTTTTCTATTAATACCGTCGGCCTTTCTAGAAATCTAATTGCCATCTTACAGATTTTCATCGAATCACTAGAAGGTCACCCGCCATGACTCTTAATTATACAACCGTGGCGCTGCACGATAAATCGGAAGAAAACTACAGAACTCCCGAAGTTATCGTGTCTCTAGATGCCTGAAAGTGGTCGTCGCTTGGCTTGAGCGACGCGTTTTTGGCAGTTTTTTAGAACAAAAGCACACGCTGGGCATTTGGAGATACGCTACGAACGCTACGAACCATGCGGCATTCGTAAACGCTTACTTCATCCACGAGGCCTGTCTCCTCTTGCATATGCGACGCCATTATTTCTAATATTATACCGACAAGTAAAGACACCTGGTACAGCTTCTATGAATCGCCTTCTGTTCCACGTTTAAGGACGGAGGTAGAAATTTTTTTTCAGTCTTTCCACTCTGGTGAAGAAGGAAGAGCAGCGGAGCTGTACTATGTGCCGCCATGTATGAGCGACGGCGGCAACCAGACAATTGGCAAGCCGTTTGTCTGATTGCCACCGTAGCTCATAGATGGCGGTAGTTGCCCAGAGGGTTGTGTCGAAATTGGTTTGTCCACAGACATGAAGCTGGGAAACAAACATAATTACAGCTCTGTTTTAATTATGTTTGAGTTGCACGATACTACATTAAAGACGAGATCTACGCATTGCGCTATTATCACTTGGTTCCTAAAGTAACAGCTAGTAACGAGGATGCTGTAGCTTGCTGAGAATATGTACCTGTCGAAGCGGGTATGTCTTGGCGTCGTCGCCTTTAAGCATTGCCTTCCTGGCGAGCGCTATCAAAGCGTCAGCGACGTACTAGCGCCGACGCTGACACGAGGTAGGGGGGCGCTTTAGGGTGACGCTAGTGGACGAAAAGCACAAAGTTTGTCTTCTAGACAGTATTAGCGTCCTGACCAGAATTTTTCTCGCCATGACGTCATGAGTTGTAATCTGACAACTTATGATCCTTTCCGAACTACAAGTCCGATTGTATATATGCGTAAAAAGAACAATAAAAGCCTGGAGTCCTCGCATTCTTATATCAACATTGCCGCAGTTGACACTCTTACAATACGCAGATTTTCGTCGATAAAAAAAAATAAAAACTACCGCAATATATTGTGTTATCCCTCCCCCCCCCCCCCCCCCCCCCCCCCCTCCCCCGGGGGCCTGATATTCATAAAAATGTGGGCTGGGCCATGTATTGGTGGATAGGCACAAAATGTTACGAGAACCATTAAAAAAAAAACACCCATTTTTTGAAGATATCAATCCCGGCTGCACAAGAGATACATTAAACTCAAAACTCAAATTAGTTTTATTGTTTTATGCAAGACATACCCATGAAAAAAACATTTTGTTATCGCAAAGTCTGTTGCTTGCATACACGTGATGAACACCTTCTATCGGCATACAGCACGAACATTTGTTTTCCGACACCGCTGTGTTCTCTTCGTTAGTAAAAAAAAAAAAAAATAGAAGTCAACGAGAAAATAGAAAAATTAACCAGGCGCAACGAGCGAGCGAACAAGCGGACGAAAGAAGCGACGAAGAGCGATGCTGGAGAAGTGGAAAAGCCGGCGATCGCGTTGGCAAATACTTTTAAAGTCGGGCCAAGTTCGGCGCCTTGTCAATCACAAGGCTCTTGCGCAACTTTCTTCTTTGGTGCATACATACTTGCGTCTGTACGCGGCGTGCTATCAACGCGGGCTGGGGCTGTGTTGCTGGGAGGCATGCACGGCACCACGAACACGGAGCTCGAAATGGGACGCTTTACAAACATCTGCGTGCGGCGTTTCAGCAAATCCTTATTTACCCGTCGACTTTGCCTCAAGCATTGCATAAGCTTACCATCCGCGGTCGCGACGTTCCGGGGGAAGGAGCGGGATTGCGGTGACCGTATTTCGCTGGAGACGGGCTTTGGCCTTACACTCCGCGGTTACATTGCGGGCGTTTGCTGATCTCGCGATCCCTGAATAGGTTACTCCTTGTGTCATCTTTCCGACTTTTTGTTTTTTTGTCCGACCCAAATTTTTTGTAAGTAAAACAAAGTTTAATTTTGTAACCTTCAGTGTTTTGTTTTCGAACGCATGTACTCCATATTTGGGGTTTCAAAAATCGGAGAGGAAATGCGTAATCAACGCCAAGTGTCTTCCCCTTCTTCGTTTTGCTTTGCCACGGACGTCCTCCAACCGCAAGGTGAGCGGCTGCGTCATTCGGGTAGGATGAATGTTTGCGGATCGCGGAGTTATCGTTGCCGTATTTGTAGGCGTTGGCAATCGCAAGGTATTCTTTTGGGGATTCGATATTCGCCGAAAAAGTGGGGTGGGCGATGACTCGGGGTTGAGCGAAGGCTCGGGATATTATGGTAACCTACAGAATGATTCAAGGAGACGCCAGGCTCTTTAAATTGACCGCGAAATTCGGTTTCTTAACCTATCACGCCACGACTTTGTGCAGCGTTGCCCACAGACGGTGCATTTTTTTTTTGTAAATTTTGCAAACAGCGAACTTTCCTGAGAAAAAAGTAAAGAAAGAAAAAGGCTTAGCTTTTATGGAAATGCAACTATGCCACCGGTCTTCAAACAACACGGCGCCGTTTCGCACGGGAGACAAGAGATGGCGCAACGAACCCCACCAACGAACGAGCATACGGCGCCGAGAGCCGGCGTTTTTAGCAGACAATCTTTTCGACTCAAAAGCGGCGCGCGTTCAGCAGGCGGCGGCAGTCGCAGAAACAAAACAGGCGCTGTAACAACAAGAAAGTGCAGTTCATTGTCTGCTAAAGACTCCGGCTCTCAGCGTCGTATGCTCGTTCGTTGGCGGCAGTTGGCGTCGCGACCGCTTGCGCCATCTCTTGTCTCCCGTGCGAAACGGCGCCGTGTTGTTTGAAGACCGGTGGCTTTGCTGCGTTTCCATAGGAGCTAAGCCTTTTTCTTTCTTTACTTTTTCCTCAGGTAAGTTCGCTCTTCGCAAATATTACAAAAAAAAAAAGCACCATCTGTGGGCAATGCTGCACAAAGTCGTAGCGTGATAGGTTAAGAAACCGAATTTTGCGGTCGATTTAAAGAGCCTGGCGTCTCCTTGAATCACCCTGTAGATAAAGACGTCACAGTAAGCGTTTGGCCAATCTTGAGCGTTCGGTCTCGAGATCCGGTCCAAAGATTCTGACCGAGGACCATGTCAGAGTTGCGAAAGGTTTGCATGTGATGGCTATGCGCCTTTCAAGTGGGCGCATTTCGGTCTTCTGCGCATGGGGAAAGAGGTGTGAAGGTGGGAGAGGAGGTTATACTAAGCTCCGCCTCCTCGGGGGGAGGGGGGGGGGGGGGGGTCGCACATCTCGGCGTCGGCAATGGCGGACTTGCTGTAGCAGCTGTGGTTCTAGCCGTGAGTAGGCGTGGTCTGGTTAAAAACAAAAAACAAAGAGAAAAGTACGTTCCGCTTCTGTCCTGTGTGATTTAGAGGTCGGCTCCGATCACACGTTGTCCAAAGGGCAGCATAACCAGGGGAAATGAAAACATGCTGCGTCTTCGGATGTGGTGGGCACATTCACGGCGGTGTGTCGCATTTTAAATTTCTGGGAGGATTGACAGATTGAGAGCTCTTTCTTGATACTGTGGATGGTGGTGCATGTCCGTTCTTAGTTGGTGGAGCGATTTGTCTGGTTAATTCAGATAACGAACGAGACTCTAGCTTATTAAATAGATGCGTGGTTCTCTGCACCTTGCACCTTTCTTAGAGGGACAAGCGGATCCTAGCCGCACGATACAGAGCAATAACGGATATGTGATGCCCTTAGATGTTCGGGGCCGCACGCACGCTACACTGAAGGAAGAAGCGTGTTTTTATCCCTGTTTGTTAATCGAGTAAGCTTATAAAAAGTGGCTTGAGCAAATAGAGAGGGCTAATAAAGTCCATCGGATTACCCATAAGCAAGTGTTCGTCTATTCAAATAACAGGGCATAGAAAAATAAGTTTCCATAAAATTTCGCGAAAAATAAAAACAATAATTGCTTCTTGGTGTCAAAGAGCCTACGGCATAACTTCCGCGATACGCTCGACGCCGCACACGAAAGGGGGGAACTTGCGGACGCTAACCACCCTCGTTCTCGGTTGTTAGCAAACAAACCTCGGCGCGTCGGCCACCACGCCCGTGAGTCCTCTGACTCTGCTCCTTGATACGTGTCTGCTAATTGTTAAACAAAACACATCGTACCGCTCGAGTTATTTCGTCTGTCCTCTCAGAAAGGCGAAGTCGAGCTCGCTCGTAAAGGTAAGACAGCTGTTGAATAGCAGACGACGTTGCAAAGGAGCAGACGACGTTCACATAGTGGGTCCTGGCCACCCCCTATCTTTCCACTCGAGCCAATCAGAGCTCGGCGTTCTGACGTCACCGCAACCCCTGCGCAAGAAACAGACGAACTTGTCCTGCGCCATTGCTGTCGAACCAAACTTCACAGCTCAGTTGCTTCTCATACGCAATACGTATACATTTGGTCTCGTAAATATCGCAAAGCCTTCGCTCTGGTGGAATGCAGCTCTAGGGTTACCGTGTAGATGGCGCCACCGCGCCAGTGTGTTCTCTCGTCATGAGAAATTTCAAGAGGTTTCAAGGCGCACTGTCCAAAGCAGTCGCAACCGTGTGAA